TACACAGGACGTTCATAATCCTGCCCCTGGCACTACTTACACAAGACGTTCATAATGGTGGCCCCTGGCACTACTTACACAGGACGTTCATAATCCTGCCCCTGGCACTACTTACACAAGACGTTCATAATGGTGGCCCCTGGCACTACTTACACAGGACGTTCATAATGCTGGCCCCTGGCACAACTTACACAAGACTTCATAATGGTGGCCCCTGGCACAACTTACACAGGACGCTCATAATGGTGGCCCCTAGCACAACTTACACAGGACGTTCATAATGGTTGCCCCTGGCACAACTTACACAAGACGTTCATAATGGTGGCCCCTGGCACAACTTACACAGGACGTTCATAATGGTGACCCCTGAAACAACTTACACAAGACTTCATAATGCTGGCCCCTGGCACAACTTACACAGGACGATCATAATGGTGGCCCATGGCACAACTTACACAGGACGTTCATGATGATGGCCCCTGGCACAACTTACACAGGACGTTCATAATGCTGGCCCTTGACACTACTTACACAGGACGATCATAATGGTGGCCCCTGGCACAACTTACACAGGACGTTCATAATGGTGGCCCCTGGCACAACTTACACAGGACGTTCATAATGGTGGGCCCTGGCACAACTTACACAGGACGTTCATAATGCTGGCCACTGGCACAACTTACACAGGACGATCATAATGCTGGCCACTGGCACAACTTACACATGACTATCATAATGGTGGCCCCTGGAACAACTTACACAGGACGTTCTTAATGGTGGCCCCTGGCACTTCTTACACAGGACGTTCATAATGCTGGCCCCTGGCACAACTTACACAGGACGATCATAATGGTGGCCCCTGGCACTACTTACACAGGCCGTTCATAATGGTGGCCCCTGGCACTACTTACACAGGACGTTCATAATGCTGGCCCCTGGCACTACTTACACAGGACGTTCATAATGCTGGCCCCTGGCACTACTTACACAGGACGTTCATAATGCTGGCCCCTGGCACTACTTACACAGGACGTTCATACTGGTGGCCCCTGGCACTACTTACACAGGACGATCATAATGGTGGCCCCTGGCACTACTTACACAGGACGTTCATAATGGTGGCCCCTGGCACAACTTACACAGGACTATCATAATGGTGGCCCCTGGCACTACTTACACAGGACGTTCATAATGGTGGCCCCTGGCACTACTTACACAGGACGTTCATAATGCTGGCCCCTGGCACTACTTACACAGGACGTTCATAATGCTGGCCCCTGGCACTACTTACACAGGACGTTCATAATGCTGGCCCCTGGAACTACTTACACAAGACGTTCATAATGGTGGCCCCTGGCACAACTTACACAGGACGTTCATAATGGTGGCCCCTGGCACAATTTACACAAGACGTTCATAATGCTGGCCCCTTGCACAACTTACACAAGACTTCATAATGCTGGCCTCTGACACAACTTACACAGGACGTTCATAATGGTGGCCCCTGGCACAACTTACACAGGACGATTATAATGGTGGCCCCTGGCACAACATACACAGGACGGTCATGATGCTGGCCCCTGGCACAACTTACACAGGACGTTCATAATGCTGGCCCCTGGCACTACTTACACAGGACGTTCATAATGATGGCCCCTGGAACTACTTAGACAGGACGTTCATAATGCTGGCCTTTGACACTACTTACACAGGACGTTCATAATCCTGCCCCTGGCACTACTTACACAGGACGTTCCATAATGCTGGCCCCTGGCACTACTTACACAGGACGTTTATAATGCTGGCCCCTGGCACTACTTACACAGGACGTTCATAATGATGGCCCCTGGAACTACTCAGACAGGACGTTCATAATGCTAGCCCCTGGCACTACTTACACAGGACGTTCATAATGATGGCCCCTGGAACTACTTAGACAGGACGTTCACGTATCGCCACACTTTTCGTTTCACCTACATTTAAATACTAGTTAAATTAACCAAATTGAACATCCTTGGAGCAACCAATCAGGCGTTCAGTGCACTGGCGCGTGGTCAGGGATAGAAATTGCGGACACGAAACATCGGAAACGGAAATATATTTATAATTTTTGTCATTTTCCAATGGGTGTCACTTTTTAGAGGGTTGAGGCTGGTGCGGTGCGTATCTCAACAACAAAAAAAGTGTGTGTGTGTGTGGGGGGGGGGTGACTCCAATTGGAAAATAGTAAATTTGACAGTGCTCAATCAAGTCGGTTTCATAGCAGATGCATACATTAAATACAAGAGCGTGGTGTGGGCAGAGTGGTGACCTCACTGGATTTAACCCCCCCCCCCAAACTCTTGTAATATACAATATGTGTATGTTTGTTGTGACATCATTGCTAACTTAATTCAAATGTTAGTTCTAAAAGCCGTATTTTCTCAAACAATTTCTCTTTTGCCATTTTGCGGTTCACTCCTCCCACCAGTAGATTGGTTTCAGGTAGTGATGGTTGGGCACGTTGTTGGATGTCAATCACATGTGTGAGAAAGGGATCAGCAGTTAAATAGCTTGTGTAAGGAAAAAGTAGTCAGCATGGGACTGGTGTATAGATGGCAATGGGGAAAGAGGACATGTGGGTTTAGATGTGGTATTCTGTCTCTGTCTCTTCATGGCGCTCTGTCTGTCTTCTCTTGGCGTCCTGTGTCTGTCTTCTCGTGGCGTTCTGTCTGTTTTCTCTTGGCCTTCTGTCTCTGTTTTATCATGCCATGGCCTTCTGTCTTTATCTTATCATGGCCTTCTTCCTGTCTTCTCATGGCCTTCTGTATCGGTCTTCTCATGGCCGTCTATCTCTATCTTCTAATTGCGATCTGTCTCTGTCTTCTCATGACCTTGTGTCTCTGTCTTCTCATGGCCTTGTGTCTCTGTCTTCTCATGGCCGTCTATCTCTATCTTCTCGTGGCGATCTGTCTCTATCTTCTCGTGGCGTTCTGTCTCTGTCTTCTCATGGCCTTTTGTATCTATCTTCTCATGACCTTTTGTCTCTATCTTCTCATGGCCTTCTGTCTCTGTCTTCTCGTGGTGTTCTGTCTCTATCTTCTCATGGCCTTCTGTCTCTATCTTCTCATGGCGTTCAATTCTATTTTCAGATCAACCAATGACAGAGTAATACTCGACGCGCGAAAAGGCACAGCAATTTGACGTCAGCAACTTTAAAAACAATAAATTTCAAACGCAACTGACAGACTCACAGGGCCGAGATGAACGCCGAGAGCTTCAGTTGACGGTCGTTACGCTAACAATGAACAGTGTCAGGTGAATGTCCGTCACGGTAACAGCTTCTTTGATTGGTCGTTAGCCACGGCCCAGAGGAACGGCAAATTACTCGTCAAGCCGGCGTCGCTTATACCATTGGTGGACACTGCAACTGTCATCAATCGCGGTGGCAGAAGATCACAATACGCTCACGCCGCGGTGACAGACGCCGATGTCCACGCCACCGGGACGGACGTCAGTTATTCGCGTGACCATGACAGCCGTCAAAGATCCCAGTCCTCACTGCGACTGACGTCAAATAATAACGTCAGTGGGACAGACGTCAAAAATCCAAACCGCGGTGACAGGAGCTAAGATCCCCGGCCACAGGTACAGACTTTGCAATAACCTCCCACCCCAACACACACATCACCACCACCACGACAGCTACTGACGTTCGACCCCCCTTGTCCATCAATTTAACATAGATCTTTTATCTAGCAACAACCATTTGTGAGGCATTAATAGTCTTAAATAGCTAATTATAGCGCTTCTGCCACACACCCACCCACCCCTTACATCACAAGCTGTATTGCCTTATTATACAGACAAGTCTCCGTTGGCACTGATGTGATCAAAAACATGTTCTTCACGTGACACATCTGGATATTTAAAATTAAAAAAAAAACACCTGTGACTTTATTTTTACACGGTAATGATAAATGTCTTATTCAATCCAGGATTAACGAGATTATTGGTACGGATTAACGAAATTGATGCGGATTATCGAGATTATGGGTACGGATTAAAGAGATTGATGGGGATGAACGAGATTATTGGTACGGATAAACGAAAATAGATGTAAGCGATGCCATCGACCAATGAGTGTATAGGTCAGTCTCAAGGTGCTTTGCTTATTTTCAACTTTAATAGTTGACCCTGCTGTAATGTTAGCAAGCATCTAGAGTAGCATCTTTGCGTCCATCCTCAGGGTTTCCATAATATCATGGTTTCAGCGGCCCAGAAGAGTCTAGCACCGTAGATCAACCAAACTTCTAAGTTCAAATTCCCTGAACCGCTTGGAAGGTCCTGCGGACGATGAGCCAATTGTACTGGCACTAGCGCACGCACCCTCCATCCAAAAGCTCCGCTGTTATTAACTCGGCCATGCCATGAGGTCCTTTCCCGATCTTTGCTACAGACCCGCCGTCCTGCTGCTGGTCGGAACACTTATCGGTGTATCACGACTGGACCCGCCCGCTGGTTGATGCCGTGCTCGACTTTACGTTAATGATTTAGCAGAAGTTCTCCCACGATTCGCCGAAGAGCGCTGTCTCAAGCTGACCAGGGTCTCCAAACTGATCAGTCTCAAATTGTTTATCGGTCTCCAATCACAAACGAGTCTCAAATTGTTTGTGGGTCTCCAAACAGATAGGGGTCTCAAATTGATCAGGTTCTCACGATAATGGCGCTCTCAAACTAATCGGAGTTTAAACTAATCAAAAAGTCTCAAACAGTTCACGGTCTCCAAACAGGAGACAGAGACAAAAATGAGTCTGTTTTTGAGCTCTGGCGTCCTGCACAGGGTAGCCCATGACATCAATGCCAGCCACATCAGCAAGGTGTTTTCCGACGACAACTTCACCCTGGCCACAACAGTGTCGTCCACAAACTACATGACGACCGCCGCGCACGCTTCCAGCCACGGCAGCATCAACATCTTACAGTTCGTGGTCTGGGGGATCATCGGCAGCCTGCTGGCCATCTTGGGCTTTCTGGGTAACACGCTCTCCATTGTGGTGCTGCACCGGCGGCAGATGAGATCTTCAACCTCCTACTACCTGCTGTCTCTCGCCATCTACGACAACGGCATCCTCCTCGGCATGATTATCTACTTCTGCCTCCCGGCACTGGCCCTGTACACCCCGTGCCTCAAAGACTACGGGTCCATATCCTCCCTGACCATCCCCGTGGGGTACCCGCTGTCGCTCACCGCCCAGATGGGGTCCATATACACCTGTGTGGGCTTCACCGTGGAGCGGTTCATCGCTGTCTGTCGGCCTCTTCACGTGGCCAACACGTGCACAAGGTCGAGGACGCTGCGGGCGATGGTTCTCATCTTCCTGTGGTCGCTGGTCTACAATATACCGCGGTTCTTTCACTACCACGTCCAAGACGACACAGACACGTCGCCCACAACTCTGCCGCCGCCTTCTTTTGGCCAGGCAACTTTCAACAACTTCTCCCCGTCGAATTTAACAGCCTGCCCTCATCTCCCAGCCGGCGGTGCAGCATGCGCGACCAGCACCAACTACCCGCCCGCCTTCAGAGACCCCGTCTCCGCCATCGGCACCGTGACCGCACAGGTCGACCTTGGCCTTACTACTTTTGGAGCGAACGTGTCCCACCAGACGAACGCCACCGGAATCGGTCCCGGGAGGCAGCGATTCAGTTACAAGGAGACGGCGTTCGGCTCCGACCCCACCTTCAAGCACCTGTACCTCATCTACTCGCAGCTGTTCTTCATGTTCCTCCTCCCGTTCATCATCATACTGGTGATGAACGTGGGCCTGATCCGCGCCGTCAAGAACTCAAAGTCCATGCACCAGTCGATGTGCGCCTCGGCGCGCAAGGAGCACAACCTGACCGTCATGCTCATCGCGGTCATCGTCGTCTTTCTCGTCTGCCAGTTCCCCACGATCATCGACAACATCCTCGTGGCGGTGTTCGGGGACGGGAAGCTGAAGGCAAACAACGCCTATATGGTAAGTCACTTTTGATAGGGTTCTATATAACAGTGGTTCCCAAAATATTTTGATATATATTTTTCATTCTCGCGTCCTTCGCGAATCCAAGGTTTTCGCTAAATAAACTTTTAACTACTACACTAAGATGTCGTTAAAATGCTCTTTTAATTAAAAGGTAGAAATTATTCAAAAATTTACTTGAGGTCGCAAAATTTCATCTATTACCCAATTATGGGGGCTACTGCCAACAGTTATTCTACTAAGCAGGTTACTCGTTTGCTGCATAAGGTCCTATACATGCAGCTTCCTATCACATGCATGGCATCGAACATGGAAACACGATTATGAAAACTTTGAAATATTCCGCGCCGTCCGTGTGAGCAGGCCACATCGCCCCACAGTTTGGGACCCCCTGCTGTAGGGTACTGTGATCGAGTTCTTACCGACTGGTGAAGTAAATATGCGTGCAATTCAAACCCGATTTACATTAACATTGCACCCTGACAGGTTCTGACCAGCCCCTGTTTTTGTACAACTAAGCATATCAATGTGCTAGGAATCATTTTTAATGTCCCCCTCCCTCCCCCCAGAACACTCGTTTTGTCCCGAGGATATGAGGTAATCGAATACGGCTCGTGTAAGCCGGTATCTTACGATGTGGTGTCGGGGGTTCCGATACTTTGTATATATATATTTTTTAAAACTGTTTTTACGGCATGATTACGATCGCTTTGATTTGATAACCCCCCCCCCCCCC